TATATATATATATATATATATTAGAACTCGGTTTCCAAACTAATTCAATATAAACAGCAAATAGTTGGAGAAGAATTTCACATACATTGTTTGTTTTTGTTCTTATGAATATTATATATTACCCGCAAGAAGTTATTTTTTTGAGTTTTGATTTTGGATAGCTTATCACCCTGATGATAGCAAATTGTCTCATTTGATATGATAAATGCTGACTACTATTTCTCTTTTTAGCTTTCAAACCTTGAAGTTTGGTTTCAAAGGCCCAAAGACATAGTGCGTAAAATGCAGTCAGGAGATCTTGATCTTGGTATCGTGGGCCTGGATACTGTTTGCGAGTATGGACGGGTAAACATTAGAAGAAATGCCGCTTCATTCTATCTTCTCTCTTATACATACGACACAATTCTTATGTATTTACATATCTAACACCTAAGCATTCATATTTATATGTTTACCACTGAAATATGTAACATCACATAAAAAATATCATTATCACCACCTTCTTAAAAATGAAATATGCATTTTCTTTTATAGCTTTATGACTCCAAGTTGTTACAAGTGTAAATATTAAACTCTATGTGCTAGATATGTAAATACATAAGAATTATGGGGTATGTATGTAAATTTTCCTTTTTTATTCTTTGCAGGGGAATGAGGATCTTATTTTAGTCCATGATGAGCTTGCGTATGGAGATTGCCGTTTATCCATTGCAGTAAGCCCCATGTCACATGAAATTTTGTCATAAATCTGTACAAGAAATTGGATTCAGATATTTACATTTTTTTTTTAATTTCAAACTTTTTCTTAAATGATTTTGATTCTTATCCTTCTAGATTCCCATGTATGGGATTTTTGAAAATATAAATTCTCTGGAAGATTTAGCACAAATGCCACAATGGACAAATGAAAGACCTCTGCGTATTGCGACTGGATTCACATATGTATGCAAGCAAATTTTATTTGTTTTTCGCAATGTTGCTGGAAATGCCTGATTGTGGATAACTAACAGATTTTAACATCCAGCTTGGTCCAAAGTTTATGGAAGATAGAGGCCTGAAGCACGTTTGTTTCTCAACAGCTGATGGTGCGCTCGAGGCTGCTCCAGCAGTAAGAATTTAACTTATTGCTGAACCAAGTTTAGCACAGATGATTAATTTGTTTAATCCATTTTAAACTTTCTACATATGCTTTCATTGTAATTATCATTCCACTTTTCTTTGGAATTGTTTATATATTCTGTTTCAGGCATTTACATGCATATCACCCAATTCCTATTTATTTACGTATCTAACGTCTAAATTTTACTTTTTACATTTATACCACCCAAATCTTTTATATCACACCTTTTCTTGCATAGGTAAGCTGGCATATATGTAGAAATTGAAGTTTAGGTGTTAGATATATAAATACATAGGAATTACGTGGTATGTATGTAAATATTCTTTTCTGTTTATATTTTCTAGAGAGAAATAAAGTAGTTTAAAAGCAGCTTTGACTGACCTTTTTGGTTTTTAAAAAGAATCAGCTTTTTTCCTAAAATTTAGGAGACTCGTATAAAATTTCTGCACTCATCAAAAGAATCTTTTAATAGATCGAGCCATTATTTACATTAAACAACTACAAAGTGATGTCAAATAGATAAATTTACACAGCTATACTAGAGACGAATGGTTTTTATATACATATTACTGGTGTAAGGATTGATGTTACTGAACGTTATTAGCTTTAAGAATAAATACCTAACTCTCTCTCTCCCTCTCTCCATCTCATTTTATGGAGTATATAGAGTAAACTTGGCTACTGCGAAAAAATTTGTGTTAGGACAGCACCTTTTGCCTCGTGCTCTACTAAGTCGAGTGGTCCCATGGAACCTACATCGAGCCTGCCAAATAATTTAAAGGCCTATTTTAGGCGCAAGTCTGAGAGGGTAATTTAATCATTTGTTAATTTTTATTTTTTGGTATAAATAGGGTTTAATTGGATTAGGGTTTCATATACGATTGTTGTTTGAAATTTAGGAGTTAGGATTTGGGAGATAATTGCCTACCTAAGGTTGTGTTATTTTGTGCATGTGAAGTAAAATATTTTATTTTTCCCTAATTTAGGTATCAAAGACGTATTTGGGAGAAAATACGGCCAAAAAAATCGATGCTTTGAAGGAGAAATTAGACGTAGAGGTGAGCCAACTCAGATCAGAAATGGAGGAGTATTTCTTATCGATGGATGAGCGGTTCTCAACCATGGAGAGGCGATTCATGACCCTGGAAGAAATGATGAAAAAGATCGCAGAGTTCCACTCAAAACCTCCGTCGCCTATGATGGTGTCGACGTGGGCATGATCTCTAGAGCCGTCGCTAGGGGATGCGAGATGGGACTGCAAATGTGAGAAGAGAACCCCCAACCACACGAGGAGTTACGCAGGGGACATTGTCGCTGCCTTAGGAAGATCATGGGCTGTGGGATCGAGTGACAACTTATGGAGGGCTAGAACGACAATTGGAAGGGATCACACGATAGCAGGAGGGTTAGAACGAGCAAAAGCAGATGGAATTATGTGTTGGCATGCGATTCGGGCTTGTAGAAGACAAATTCAAAGGAATTTAATTTGGCCATGAATAAGGAACCACGGTGGGTAGGAACCCGACCAAGGGTTGCATCCAATAATGTCGATACCCTTTACTGTGATAATCACGACAATCCTCTAAGTAGAAGCTGATTAGGAGCCTATGGGGATGAACAAGTTGATTATGGGCGAGTCAAACTTCTGAAAGTAGGAAAATTAATTTTGGTTGAGGAAGAGAACCCAAGTACTGGTTCATGGGTGGAATGAGCTTCGTTCGAGGAAATTGGGGAAGTTACTCACACATAAGGAAGTTGAAAATGCCGATTTTTGAAGAAGAGGATGCTCGTGGTTGGGTTTATCACGTGGAGAGATACTTTGCTATTAATGAGCTGACAGAGGAAGAAAAATTGACGGAGGGAACTCTTCATTTGGAAGTGAAGGTTCTAGCGTGGTATCAACAAAGTGAACAATGTCAGTCAATCTGAACATGAGAAGAATTCAAGGATCAACCGTTGGAGCATTTTAGATTCACGTGGGAAGGGGATTTACAAGATCAATTTTTTGTATTGTTCTAGGAAAGGGCCATCATGGATTATAAAGAGAAATTTGAGATGCTATCCAACCATTTGAGAGGGATATGAAAAGCAGTATTGAAAGGAAACTTCATGAAGAGTTTGATGTCAGAAATTCGGGCAACGCTTTGTTTGCTAAGATTGTGAGAATTGAGGTAAATTATGAAATTAGCATAGATGGTTAAAGATAAAAACACCATAAAACGATCTAATAGGATTTTGTACCAATGAAGTGTTTAATCAAAATGCTACAACCATGGCGATACCAAAAACTCACATTGGGATTCCAAAAGGAGGCTCTATGGCCAAGAATAATGGGCCACAATTGGAAGTGACTTTAAAATGTCTTACAAAGACAAAGATTCAAGAGAAGCATGCCAAGGTAGGGGTGTGAACGAGCCGAGCTTGAGCAAGCCCAAGTCTTACTCGTGTTTGACTCATTAAAATGTATTTTTGTTTGTGTTTAGCTCGTTTATAATTCGAGCATAAAAAATTATTCTTGTTCGACTCATTTAATTAACGAATGATTCGAACACGAACTGCTTAACGAGTCGAACATGAGCTGTTTGCGAACAAAGAACTTTTTGGACAACCATACCGTGAGATGGGTTTGGGCTTAGGCTTGTTTTTTTTCTTTTTGGCATTTAAATACATACCAACTAATTCCTAGCAATTTACATATCTAACACCTATATTTTATTTTTTTGCATTTATACCACCCAAATCTTTTATATGATTTTTTTTTAAATGCAGTATAAAAAATTAATATAAAAGTGTTATAAATAAATAATATTATTTAATCATTTTGATCCGAAATGAGCCGAAAACGAACAAACAAATCTTTGTTCGTGTTCGGCTTATTTATAAATAAAACTAAAAAAAATTGTTTTTGTTTGATTTGTTTGCTTAATGAACGAATCAAACACGGGCACTTAACGAGTCGAACACGAACTGTTCGCGAATGATGAGTTTTTTAGTAGCTCTAAATCAAGGAGTTATGTTTTTGATGTGATGAGATATTTCCCTAAGATACCGTTACAATGATCTGATCTTGCAGGTTCTCATAGTGTGTGATGAGATGGCAAGGGATGAAGAAATAGATGAGATTGTGGTGGAGTAGGAACACCCTCACTTGGATGTGAAAGATGTCTTATTGAACTCAATGGTCCGGTTCACAGTGAACCGAACCTTGAAACTTTGGAGACAGATCGGGGAGCATGATGTAGTGGGGTTGGCAGATAGTGGCCATAATTTAATAATTTTATGGTCATTTATATGATGAGTTTGAGTCATAACTATGCATGGCCATAATTTAGTTGTGGATGCTATTAATATAGGTTTTATGAAAATTATCACTTCATATCGATGCTCCTATATTTGTACATTGCTATTTTGAAAAATAAAATAATTAAAAAATATTTTGGATAATGTTAGTATTTACAATTTATGCACAAGTTATGGGCTAATGGCATCTAACATTTTTACCAGATGTCACTGATTACTAGTGTTAGGCTAAAAGCTTTAATGCGTCATTTTTTCTTCAAATGTTCCAAAATGAAAATCATTCTATATTTTGATAGAGCAGTTGAATCTGTTTCGTGATGATCGGCATCAGTCTATACAAGTTAGGAAGATTTAGATGCACACCAATCAATTCTTATGTATCTTCATATTTAACCCCTACACTTCAATTTTTACATATACGCTACCATATGCATGAAAAGAAGTATTTCACTTTTTAAAAATTGAAATTGTGGTATTTTTATGCGTTATGAAAAATTTGAGCGGATAGATGTAAAAAGCAAATTTTGGGTGTTAGATGTGTAAATACATAAGAATTGGGTGGTTTGATATAGTCGTTATTGTAAAAATAATCTCATCTTATTGTAATATCATATTTGGTTTTCTATAAAACCTCTAGCATACGACTTATTTCTACAGATGGGGATTGCTGATGCTATTTTGGATCTTGTGAGCAGTGGAACAACTTTGCGTGAGAATTATTTGAAAGAAATTAAGGATGGGACTGTTCTACAGAGCCAAGTAAGTGCTGCTTATATTGGCTAAATAGAAGGTTTAAATTCCACGCTTGTGCTCTTGTGTGTATTATTACTTAGAATTTATGCAGGCTGTACTTGTTGGAAGCAAGAAATCTTTGACGCAACGCGCAGGTGTGCTTAATATTACCCATGAAATTCTTGAGAGACTCGAGGCACACCTGAGGGCCGCCGGCCAGTATACGGTAATCCCGGACATAATTTTGTGTATATTCTTTTGCCAATTTCAAAACTTTTTTCTCATTAACTTTAATTTCATCTGTTTTGAATTGAAAGGTCACTGCCAACATGAAGGGGAACAGTGCCGAAGAAGTGGCTGAGAAAGTTCTTGGTCAAGCATCATTATCTGGATTGCAGGTAAATTTTTTTATACAGTTTATTTAATTAGAATTAATAGTTATATTATTAATATGTAATATTAAATTTATATTTCAACCAATAGACTTAAATTCTAAAAGAAATTGCCAAACAGTTTTCCGGATTTAAACACCTTAGGTTTTTGCCTAATCCGGATCTATAGGATTTCTAAATCCTACTTATAGGATTGATAGTATTCTGCATATATTTTTAAAGAATAAAGTGCCAAAATAGTGCTCGGATTGTTTTTATGTGGTCATTTTAATCCTAGAGTCTATAAATTTGTTAAATTAGTCCCCAAAAATTTTAAATTGGGGTTGAAATAGGACTATTTCAGCCCATATTAAAAGGCTCTAGGTACTAAATTGATATTTTTATAGATTTTGGAATTAAAATGTGACACTTTTCTCTATTTTTGAAGTTCATTAATGATCCATCTTTTTCCAAAGAAATGATTTGTGTCAGAGAACAAGTTCATTAACTCTGTTAAGAGCATTATTGATGCTGATAATTTTATAGAAATATTGAGTTTAGAATTTATTTAGTCTTATTGCTTTGGTGAGTTTTTTTTTTTTAATTTTTAATTTATTTGTGTTTGATATTCTTTTGGATTATTGCAAACAGGGTCCCACTATAAGCCCGGTATACTGCAAATATAACGGCGAGGTCAAAGTGGAGTACTATGCAATTGTCATATGCGTCCCTCGAAAGGCTCTTTATGAGTCTGTTAAACAGCTCCGATCTGTGAGATATATTTCTATAACTGTTATTTCCTGGATTTCTTTCAGTGTATTTTTTATGTAGGGACATTTACCGACATACCACCGTATTCTTATGTTTTTACATATCTAACGCCTAAACTTTAATTTTTGCATTTATACCAAAAAAATGTTTAATATCATATAAAAAAATCCTTCACTTCAAGTTTTAAAAAGTGAAGTGCCCCTTTTCATGCATATGAAATGTGGCATGCCTGTAAAAATTGAACTTTAGGCGTTAGATATGTAAATACATAAGAATTGAGTGGTATGCATGTAAATCTTTTTTTATATATTTAATTATCAGTCAACATAATATTTTCTTTTAATGCAATTGCTAAGCATGAAATCTTGGGGGATTTTACACATTTGTCATGAATTTTATTTACATATCTAATTTACAAATCTCAAAATCTAGTATATCTAGTTTCATTCCTAAGTCTCTATATCCTTCAATGGACACTTCCTCTTTCGGTCTCCTTTGATATTGAGTCCCGAAGCGTCGTGGTCGAGTCTCCTCTTTGTTGAAATCACCCTTACAAAAAGTATTCAGATGTTCTTCTCGCTCTCCTCCTCAGATCTCGCTATCACGATCGACGGCGACCTCTCCTCTCCCTTGGTCTCGTCCTCAATTTCATCTAGCTGTTGTAGGACTCGGTAGAGTTGTAGTTGTATTTCTTCCATAGTGAACTCCTAATTGGCTTCCAACATTTATCTATTCGGTGGCATGATTAGGGTTTAGGTGTGGGTGGATGGGATGATAGGGTGTATTGGTGTGATGTCGTATGGGAAAGAAAAAAATTGGGTTATGTAGGGTGGTTTAGGTAACCCTAGAATAAGATTAGTATTAGACTTAGCTCTGATACCAAATGATAAAAGATTTAACCCAAACAACGATAAGCATGCAAATACTACTGAAAGAGAAAATAAGCGGTTATAGCCAACAAACGAAAAAGGGTAATAACGACAACATAACATTCAACTCACTAGGGTTGTATTCCAGAGATGGTGGTCGGCTATGTGGCTTGGAAAGTGTGTTGCGGTGGGATGATGGAGGGTGAGCAGGAAAGCTGGATGGTGGAGAGTAGGCTGGGTGGAGCGGCAACAAGTTGGGAGGTTGATTGGGATCAAAAAGATGGCTGGTGGCGGGTTACCTGTAATGGTGGTGGTAGCAAACTATAGAGAGGCCGAGGTAGGAAGCTTGAAAGGTGGGGAATAGGTTGTATTGGGAAGTCGACAGTCAGCAAGGGTGTCTACAGAAGGGATGTGGATGGTTATGACTGGAAGTTGTAGGTGGAAGATAAGTGGGTTGGCTAAAGGTGGGAGAAAGTAGCAGGCAACAGGGAAGGTGGGTGCGGTTGTAGGAGACAACAAGGATAGCTATTCGGGGATCCCTGCAATGAGGAAAAGAGATGATGGAAGTGGAGAGAGGGTTGCAGAGGGAGGAATAGTTGAGGGTGATTACCACCTTAGAATGAGATACAATCGGAGCACCACTCGCTATTAAATAAAACTCTAGAAGTGAACATAGGAGTTGCCGACGACTGTCCCGATAGAAGCACAACTTAAAAACTGTCCTAAAATATGAAAATAACGTACTTATAGACTAAGGGTAACAAAAGGATAAAGTCCCTTCAGTTAAACTACAAATCTATGGTGAGGATCAATTTGAGGTAAGACTATTAACGATTTGATTTTGAACATAGCTAGGGTCGGCTGGAATAGATTTAGTACGGCTCAAAATTGGCTCGTGGCTCGTTATATTTCACTTTGAGTTGAGCTGGCTCAAAATTGAATCAAGTTCGATCCCGCTTGAAATTGAAACGAGCTGACTCAAATTGAGTTATTTTGATTCGTTTCAGCTAAAAAACGGCTTGATCCCTCTCAAAATTGAAACTAACTGTCTCAAACTGAGTTATTTGGATCCGCTTTCTGCTCGAAATCAGCTCGTAACTCGTAACTCGTTTTATTCAATTTTAATTAGTATTATATATATAATTTTAATAAATACAAAATAATACGAGCCGATCCATGTATGACTCGAAATCGGCTTGAAAAAATTTCAATACAAAGTTTCGTCTTCTAGCTTAGCTCGTTTATGTCGATCCGAGCCAAAATTCGAATCAATTTTTGAGTTATTAACAATCTTTGAGCTAAATTCAGAGCCCTAACCTGTTTTTCAGATTCATGGGATTGAACTGGTTCATGTAGGGCCTGGCTGAACCGACCTAGGCAGCTCGAAATTGCTGCGTCCCGCACAAGCACAGGAGACGCCCCTCCCTGCCACGTGTCACTTTTATCCATTTCCTGTTTTGATTCTTAGCGATTATTAAAGTTAATGAATTTAGAAACATATCCTCAAATGATCAGCTTTGCTTTGTGTGCAAGGCACGTGTGAAGTATCAATGAAACTTTTTGTTATGTATAACCTAAACAGAGTTTGAGAGTTCTTATTATTATCATCCTGCTAATACATTATTGTATTTTCTTCTTGAGCAATTATCAAACATGAAATATTTCGTGATTATTAGGATTAGTTTAAGTTTGTGTATAATCACTTCTTCTTTGAGGCTAACAATGATTCAATCCGGGAACAGGTAAAATCATAATAGTTTTCCCTTAAACTGGACAACTTATTTGGTAAGAAATATTTTGTACGCTTATTGATTGCTTTTAGTGATATGTTAGTTTTATATGGACAAATATTTGACTAAATTTTGTTTTAGTAATTCTAACCATGAAATTCTTTCTTTTTAATTTTTTTTAGGAAACATCTAAACTTTAATTTTTTCATATATATCATGTTGTCTGTCTATGCATGAAAATGTGTATTTCACTTTTTAAAGGCCAAAGTAGTGGGATTTTTTATGTGGTATAAATGATTTGGGCGGTATCAATATAAAAAAAATAAAGCTTTTTTTTTTCTAATATAGAAAATATTCATGCAGATTGGTGGTAGCGGAGTGCTAGTTTCTCCCCTTACCTATATTTTTGAGGAAGAGACCCCAAAATGGCTGAGACTCCTTAAGAAACTCGGAATGTAACTATTCATTTTATTGCAGGTTTGATTATCTCCTTATTTTAGAATAATGTCTGCTTAGTTACTCGTCAAAAACTCTTTATGTTTGAAATTAATTTATGCCGACTGTTGTTTAATTTTTCATTGATTAAATTTTGCAAAATTTTGGTTTCTTTGTTCCCTGTTCTCTACTCTGAGAATTTTATGCTGTATTTCATGCGCACTATTATCTGAAATTCAGATTCAATAATATTTGAATTGCCATCTTTGGATTAGAAAATTAACAGTTTTTATCTCTTTGGCCGGGCTTATCTGCAAGTTTGTGATTATATTACAGGTCTTTAGTTATATTCCTGATAAATTTCTTAGATTCTTATGCAACTTAAAAGTAATTTTTAATTCTCACAATAAAAGCAGTGAATGAGTGGAATCCATAGGCCATTGGTAAATGTTTTGGTTGTGAATTTCTTGAAATTATCCTTTTCTGTTGGTAGTCAAAACCAGGTTATTAAATTTTTCGGGTTGTGCTCATCAATTTTTTTTAGAAAAAAAACTTTCTGATTGTGATTTTGAAAATATGTCTCTTAGTCACCAACACAATTTTGAAGATTAATTTTTCGCCGTAGCATGTCGATATTGAAGAGCATGATACTCAAGAATCCATTTCTGCATTTATGTATGTGTTTTGAAGGCAATATTTAAATTTTATCTAAGATGACTTCTTAGTGTTGAAGCTTGAAGAAAGGCAGAGAAACAATATTCTCTTATTCCATATATTCAAATTACATTTTTCCCTTATTATACGAAGAAAGGTTAGGGCAAAACATAATAAATGTCATTATAACTTACCGAATACAAAATAAATAAAGAAAGAAAGACATACAACATAATAAAAAAATAATAAAAAGTATTGAAGTTGAAATAGGAAACTCCCTCACATGGATTCCACAAGTTGCACCTTTGGGCCCATATAGTCGGCGGTTTGGTCCACCTAATAGTGACAAAATTCCACACTCCTCCTAAAGTTGGGTCATAGATGTTGTAAAGATCCAACTTGGTACTCAAAGCAGTGAAGCAACCTAGAGGTAAGGATTTAGCGAAGACATCAACAACTTGGAGATGAGTTGGAACGTAGACTAAGTTTACAATGCCACCAATGACTTTTTCAGATATAAAATATCTATCAATCCCAATGTGTTTGGTTATGTCATGATGCACATTATTTTTTACAATAATAATGGGAAGATTGACCGTCACAAAATATTTTTATGGAATTGAACGTGGAGCATCTCAAGTCATTTAGTAAGTTTTGGATTCATGTTCTTTCGCAAATTTCCAAAGCAATTGCCCGATACTCGGATTTTGCACTACTTTTAGAGCCATTGTTTACTTCTTTCTCTTTCTTTTGACAAGATTTCTCTATAAATAGCAATAATACACATATTTGGATTTTATGTCCGTGAGTTCTCCTGCCCAACTAGCATCAGTGTAAACTTCTTCCTTCATGTTGTTTGATTTCTTAAACAATAACCCTCTACCTGGGGTCTTCTTAAGAAACCTCAATATTTTGTAAATCACCATCAAATATTATTCATTTGGACTATTCATATATTGGCTCGCAATGCTGACAGAATAAAGTTCGGGTATAGTGTGTGACAAGTATATAAGCCTTTTTATCAATTTCTAGTATCCACTTTTTTTTATTAATTTCTTTTCTCCCCCTGAATGTAACTTTTTTGTTGAAATCCATAAGAGTCTCAGCAGGTTTACCCCCTAGCATTTATGTTTCTTTTAGTATGTGGATGTACTGTATTTGGGATATCATAATTCTCTTCTTTGATCTAGCCATTTTCATGCCTAGAAAGTATCTTGTAGCTCATAGATTCTTGATTTTAAATTCATTGGCAACAACCTTCTTAATTTTTTCAATCTTCTTTTCATCATCAACTGTCAGGATTGCCACTTACATAGACAATGAGTATAGCTTTCTTATCTTCCTGTGTATGCTTTATGAACAATGTATGATCAGCTTGGCATTGGATGTACCTATTGTATTTCATAGTCTTGACAAACTTATCAAACCAAGTATGTGGAGATTTGAGGCCATAAAGTGATTCTCATAGTTTAGAAATCAAATATTTATTTAAGTTGTTTTCCAGCCCCGATAGGATCTTCTTATACACTTCTTCTTGAAAGTCGTTCTTTATATCAAGTTGATGCAATTCTCATTTTTTGTTCACCGCCAAGGAAAGGAGAACTCTTACAGTGTTCAACTTGGTCACTTGTGCAAATGCCTTTTGATAGTTTATCTCATAAGACTGAGTGAAATCTTTAGCCACCAATCAAGCCTTGAACCTCTCAATGCTCAACTTGACATTGAACACTCATTTGCACCCAACAAATCTTTTATCTAGAGGAAGTTTTGTAAAGGTTCATATGTCGTTTAGATCAATTGTTTGATTCTCCTCTTCAACTGCCTTTTTCCATTTTGGACTTTGAAGTGCTTCATGAATAGGATTGAGTATCTGTACATTATCAAGATTCAATACAAAAGTTTTAAAAGGTGATGATAACTTCCCATAGCCAATATTCTCCTGGATAGTATAATTTGTGCAACTTTCCATGTATTCTCCACTGGATTCCTCCCACCTTGTAACTTCATAGATGTGTGAATTCAGGTTTGATTGTGAACAGTTCTGTGGTTACATATTATTTTATCCTGCTCAATGGGCTAGTGTACATATAAAGTTTCTGGTGCATTTTTTTTTTTTGTCAATCTTATATTAGATAATTTCAAGTGGTGAGACTTTGGAGACAGTATGGTTAAAGGGATGTAGATCAGGTTGTGGTGACTCTAGTTTAGTGTGGGTATCTTTAGTAGTGTCCCAAATATGATTTTCACCCAGACTCTCCCCTAAATTTAAGATTTGGGATAATATGATTGTTTTTCAAAGAATGTAACATTCATTGAGTTATAATATTTTTTTAATAATGGGAGAATATCAAATGTACCATTTTTTGTTAGAAGCATAATCAATAAAGATGTATTTGATGGATTTTGGGGCAAGCCTTATGCAGTTTGGTTGGTGAATGTGAACAAAAGAGATAACCAAATATTTTTAGAGGAATATTGGATGAAAAGGCTCTAACATAAGCATATGTTTCTTCAAAACATGGAGAGGGTCTATGAATTCAAAGATCCTGCTTGATATTTTATTAATGAGGTAGGTGGCTATGAGCACCATATCTTTTCCTGAAAATTTTTGGGATGTTGTGAGAAAGCATTATAGACCTAGATACCTCAAGGAGACGTATATTCTTCCTCTCTGCTATCTCATTTTATTATGAAGTCCCAACATAGTAACTCATATAGATTTTGTAAGTAGGGCTGTGGCTCGTTGTCCGGGAACAGCTCGTGTTTGGCTCGTTAAGCAGCTCATGTTCGACCCGTTCGTAAAGCTTAACAAGCCGAACACGAAGAAATTTTTAAGTTCGAATTATAAACGAGTCGAACACAAATAAACATTTGTTCACTCGTGTTTGGTTTGAATTGGCTCGAAAATTAAAAAAAATATCAAATTTTAAAAAATTAAATCCTATAAATTATAATTTATAACAAATTATTAATAAATGTTACTTATATAAATATTATATATTTATATAATATAAATTATATAATTAATATAATATAATATATAAGTATAAATTTAGGGTTCGGTTACTTCTCCCTCTTATGACTTTTCTTCTTCCTCTCAAAATCGCGAGGGTTCGGCTGCTTCTCCCTCTTCCAAAATTGCTAAAGGCGTTCGGTGAGTCGGCGACTCTTCTCCTTCCTTTCAAAATCGCGAAAGGCATTCGGCGAGTCGGCGACGGTCGCGCTCCTGCTCCTCTCAAAATCATGATAGGGTTTCGGCGGCGAATCTTAGGGTTTGTTATTTGTCTTTCTATTCCACTACTGAGTTCCGAGTCATCTTCCTCTTCCTCTTTCGACTCATCTCCTCCAATTTCGAGCCGAACTCGAGCTGGAAAATATTATTCGAGCCAAACACGAACACACCGTTCACGAGCCATTTCGAATAAGAGCCGATTTCGAACACGAGCCAAACACGAGCCGACCCTTAGCTCGCTCAGGCTCGGCCAGTTTACAACCCTATTTGTAAGGTGGGGTTCAAGGATTGAGTTGAAGTATTTATTTGCATTATGAGTTTTAATATTCTAAATTTTGTAGTGGAATTGAGTGTAAATCATGTCACAAAAGACCTGAAAGACTTGTGTAGTTTCATATATCTCCTTCTTGAGAAATATCCAATTGGTTCTAGTGTGATCATCAATAAACCAACCATCTAGCTCAATTTATAGTTTTCCATTTTGATGGATCCTAAATGTCTTTGTGGATGATAAAAAGGATGTGACAATCTCAATTGATATAGATGATACACATGATGACTATGCTTAGTCAATTGGCAGGTTTAAGACGAATAAAACTTTGGCTTTCTTTTAAGAAAGAGATTGGAATGCAACTTTGGTACATAATGAAAATTATGATGATCTAGAAGACAATACCATAATAAAACTTGACTTTCAACAGATTTATATACAATAGACATAGGAACACGAGGAGAATGGTGGAGAAAAAACTTGTGTATAAAGAGAATAGCTCTCCTGGAGCAGGTATAGACCTTGATGCAATTCTGCACGGCCAGTCACCTTCCCTTAATCCGCACTTGAAATTCACAATAGTCAAAGTAGAATTTAATAACACAATTCAAGTCACGAGTAAGCTTGCTAATTGAAAGTAAGTTGCAATCTTGTTGTGAAACATATGACTCCAAAGAAAGTTGAATATCTTTGGAGACTTTCACTTTTTCCCAACAATGCCTGAGTGAGATCCATTAGCAAGTCTAACAAAATTGGAGGTGGTGATCTCTTGCTAGTTGATGAGAGCATAAATGTTTCCAGTTATGTGATCAGAAGCACTTGAATCTATATTATCTAAGGTCGAAATCTTCTATTGTTAGTCAGATAGGAGAAAGATATGATACCTTGGTGTATCATCACGTTGGAAGGCTCCTCAGTCATACTAGTAAGTAAAGCAAAACCTCCAGTTGTTCTTAGTAAATAGACTAGGGTGGGTGAAACCATCGGACGAGGTAGCAGCGTGGCTTTACTGTTTTGGTCTTTTCTCCCTTTTCCAAGTTTCCTATCTACAGGTTTTCCATATAATTGTCAACATTTATCATTTGTGTGGCCACGTTTCATATAAT